TTTGTTGTTCAGGGATGGCGATTAATACTAACCGTCACATCCCCTATCCGTGGGTCGCTGTACTATTTGTTGTTCAGGGATGGCGACTAATACTAACCGTCACATCCCCTATCCGTAAGTCACTACAAACTTCTAATAAGAGTCAGTGAGTCAAGTAGTCCGCTTGCACTTACCTAAGGCAGCTATGGCACCAAATTGAAAGATTCTGTGTGATGAGCCGCTCTTTTATAGCGGGATTCGCGCTCGCTTGTTCCATTGCAACCTGTGTTTACGTGTGTATTGTGGTATGCTTAATTTAGGTTGGTAGCTGTCGCAATCTTAGTTACGACTTGCATGACATTCTTATATGTAACTTACGGGTAACTAACGTCTATCTTATTGCTATGTTTGCTCATCTTGTTCTTCAACATGGCTCTTCTTCTTTCTTTATGCTTCTCATCCTAGGCGTGCAATACTTAGCGTACGTTTCTATGGTTTTATATTTAGGTAGAATAAATGTATTTTCTGTTTCTCTGTGTTTATATCTGTTTATATGTGTGAGTTTATACATAATTGGCATGTGTGGTCTCTCTACATTTTAAACATAAATGTTTATACCTATGTATGCGTTTGTATGGCCTAACGGCGCTTACACATTTTGTGTAATATTGTGTGTGTGTTGGTACATTTTGCGCGTACGAGTATCTGTATATTGGTATGCATTGCTATGTGTGATTCTATCGTCTATACGTTTTCCATGATCGTGTATGCATTGTAGACCATAAGGGTTTCTACCTGATTATATACCCTAACTGGGTTTATACAGTAATGCACGATATGTATGCGTTTCTACAATTTAAGGCATACAGATTTCTGTACTATGGCCTAACAGTAATGTACAATGGTATGTGTGATTCTTTGATCTATGCTTTTGCATGAGCGTGTGTGCTTATGCATTGTGAAGCATAAGGGTTTCTACGTGCTTATATGACCTAACGGCGTTTGTATAATATGTATGCGTTTCTCCTGTGTGCTTCTACGATTTAAGGTATTTTTATACTTGTGCGGGTGTTTATATATTTTACATATTTCATATGATTTTATACCTATGTTCGACTTGTGCCTGTGTTATATGATTTTACATGTTCTATGCCTATGAGCCGTTTCATACAAGTTTTGCTCATTCTAACGATCTTATACCTATTTTGCTCGTGCCTGTGTTACATATTCTATGCCTTGGAGCCATTTCATACATGTTTTGTTCATTTTAACGATCTTATACCTATATTGCACTTATTCGGTTGTGTATATATTTTGCTGGAGGAGGTTGTTCATGTTTACTTAATTCAATCAGACGTTTACGGACCGCTCGGACTGACAGGTGGTTCGCTGTGGGTAGCTGTTTTAGGTGGACGGACTTGCATTCCGTAAGGAAGCAAAAACGCTTCCTTACAGTGATATTATAGGCAGGTGGCACACTGCTTAAGAAGGCCATCGAACGAATACCAATTCTCGCGCATACCGAACGTAGTCTACCACTCTTGTCTGGCCGCCCCGTCTTCTATCCACCCTTGTTAAACTGTACCTATTTGCATGAATTTTTTTTACAAAGTCTTGCGCAGTCACTAACTTACCAATTTCTTCCGTCAGTCGGTCGGCTAACTTTCTACACACTACTCTGCGTAAACTATGTCCTATTACTGCTCCACAAGTCGGGATATTCTTTTAGTAATTGACTAAATACTCTGTCTGAAATTTTTACCATGGTATTATTCTTAATATACTTAATATATGTATATTAATAATATAAAAGTGATGTAATGTAGTGATAATATAAATATTATAATATAATAAGTAATATGTCACGAACCTGAAAATAAATGGAATACAAAATAGACTATTTATACAAAGAAATGTAAACTTTTTATGAAATTGCTAACATGTGTGAAACAAAAATGAAAATAAATAATTGTCAAATTAAATATAAATGAAACAACGACCTGTTTTTATTTCAATTTATTTACGTAAAAGCTATATTTTTTTGCATCTGAAATTAATAATAATTCAAAATGATAAAAAAAAATAAAATGTAAATTTCAAACTAATAATAACTAGAACTACATACTAAATCTTATAAACTAAATGTTGCCAACTCTGACTTTTGATGTTTTAGATGTTTCTTAAATTTTTTGGTTTTTTGTTTAATTAAAAACACTATGAACTGTTTTGTAGAGCTCTCATCAATCTCCACAAAACTGCTCTGCTTTAAGAGCTATCATCAACCTCTAAAGGTTCCCCTTAAAAGCCAATGTATAAATACTGGTTTCTATTTTAATTAACATGTCAATGAATTGAAATGTTTAGTTGATTAGCTACTTTACATAGTACAAAAATTTCTTATTCTACTGCTATTCTCTGAGCTCTTGGCTATGGTGACTGAAGCGGAGCTGTAATACCGAAATTTTACTTTTCAGAGCGCTGAAGAAAAAAAGCTTATGTGTTTTGAATGCTTTGGTATCCAAGTTATTCAGTAATCAAGCTTTGAAAAATATTTTATAATTAACTACAATTAATTTTTTTGGCGAAACATTCAGAAGAAAATGTTTGTTCTTCCTGCTTCGAGGTTTTTCCCTTTTTAGTCAATTTTCTTCTTTCTTTTATATGATTCGAATTAGAAAAGGAATATAAGCTGGTTAAGTTTCTCATTTCGTGGATCAGGGTCCATGAAAATTGTCTAAATATTGTCTTATGCTTAACATGCATGTATCCATACCTAACTATGTCATATATGTTTGTAATAAACGTCGTTTTAAAGAACTAATTTTAATGGCCAAACAACAATTTCGATATAAAAAGCTCATTATATTCAAATTCTTTTGTAAAATTAGTTAGTGTACAATGAATTTCGGGATGAATAAAGAAATTATCGACCAATGTTTGTTCAAATCGTAAACATCCTGCACTAGTGTCGATTAATAATATTCACCTATAGTCGTGGGTACAGGATCCATTAAACATTCATCAACAATTAGCTTTAGGAGGCGATCCTTGATTTGGCCACACCTACACCAATTATTTATTAATGAAAATTTTACCTTTTTTTTAGTAAAACACGAAAGGAAAGAAAGAAATAGGGCCCGGCATTGCTGCCGCAATCTCGACGCCGATCAGCGTCGTGGTCTACATGAGCGCCTAGGCAGACGCCCCCTGCGACCACTCAGGTGTAGATGAGCGCCGAGGCGCTACGCAAATTAAAGTGTATTGTAGTGTGATCGCATACAGTCGTACGCATCCACTTTGAAGTGCGACAGAATTGTGCTGAATTTTCATAATTCTGTAGCAAAAGAAAAAAATTTTTTCGCACTTCACCTGGCTGAGTATTACATTTCGTAATGCAATACGATGCCACAATTAAAAAATCACCATTTCTGTTAAGGTAAGCATAATTTAGTATAGAAATTAAGTATAAATAGTGCATGTTTTCAATAAAGCAGTTAATTGTTATCAAAAGCAATTCACAAGCGTATTAACCCGCTTAAAAATATAAGGCGTTCAATCCGCCTAAAATGAAAAGATCAGGGACTGCTTTATGCCGAGCATGATTCGCGTTATTAAAAAGCATTAAGACTAGGACTCTAAAACAGTAAAACTTACCTTTCACTTATCTACAACTAGGGAAGGACTCATAGGGAATCCTCCCAAATACTGCAACCCATTCAATCACTACCACTCCCGGTTGCAGTAAAGCATTTTTCATTTTTATTACAGTTTATTCGACACAGTCAGAAAAGTAGTAAAATATATGAAATATAAAAAATAAAAGTTCAAGCTTATTGTGTTTTCTTAATTTCATCTAAAAAATTAAAAAACTACCATTAGACATGTTCGTTTGTTTCTAGAAATGTTTGAAATGACATTTATAGAAATTTCAGCGCTCGTTTACATCGTTGTAAATAAAAAGTAGTCATTATTTAACTTTCGCACGGGGTTTTTTTTTTTTTGTAGGGTATTATTGGAATCGACTTAGCGGTCTCCCTTTTTTTAGCTGTGCCTGTAGAAAAGACACCGGAACAACAAAACCCTTTTTTAAGATTGGCATTTTAAAAGGATGTTAAATCGCATAGTCTGAATTTATTTAAAAAACAGTATTTACAGTGATATTATTTAAAAAATGGGAATTCTTATTATTAAAGGTAAAAAACAAATGACTGACAATTGGGAAATTAGCGAATTACTCTATTCCACTTTAGGAATGTAGATTGTCAATAAATGTTATGAATTGCTTCATGCCACTTTTTGCATGGATTTCAGTTATTATTCCAATTTTATTATGCATTTATATAAGAATGTATTAAATGTTTCCACGTCGGGAAATATTTTTCATGGTAGAGGATATTTACAATTTCATCATGTGATTTCTTTGCTCTCGCGATTCTCCACAAAAGGGAATTCTTATTAGGAACCGATGTAAAGAGAAAAAGAAGAAAAAGACATTTGTAAATTTTCTTTTTTAAAAAAGTTATAAAGTTCTATTTATTGATGGTAAGTGCGTTTATTTCTTTTATTTACAATATTCACGGTATTGAGACGGAGACCCAGCTGAGATTACCATACTTTTTCTAGGAATCTCTTTGGTGTCTCCTTCGTTTCTAGTAATTTTACAATCTCACTGCAGAGTATAAATGTTATAAATGACGTCTTGTGCACTTCATAATTACCCGCCGACGTCCACAAGGATAAACAAACCAATGCTAAATTTTCAATTACATTTAATATCACTGCGAACTTTACAATTATGCGACGATTGCGCCGTATGGGATTTTTGTTATACTGCGAATACAAACTGGCCAGGACAAGACGTACGGACAAATGCAGTATTATCGCCAATCTCCATACAGTTCGCGGAGGTTCGTAATTCCCAATAGCAGCTGAGATGGATGGCAAATAATTCGACACCTCGCAGTGCGTGTGCGGGGCCCGTTCGAAATCCATTACTATGGACCAGACGATGCAATATGCAAATGCTCAGAAACACTAGTTGCAAAAAAATCCTTTCAAGTATCTTACTAACGAAGTAAACAAAACTGACAGTTAATATTAATACATGTAAAGTTTAAGAGCAACCAACACCAATCATATGAAATGATCCAAAGTTATTTAATTGAATTTACTTCCCAAAACTTTTATTTCTCAGTTTCCACTAGAAATTATACCTTAGAGTCATAATATATAGACCAATGTGATCCAAATTCCTTACTTTTAATTTATTTGCTAAATTGGTGGACCAAATTTCGTCATGAAAATTAAGCATAGAAATTGACCCATAGCGCTCAAATTCAGTCCATTCAATTTTTATGTTAAATTATTGTCATGAACAAATTTTCTTCATTAAACATTAAGCATATGGAATTTATCGTATTCCAGTATCCTTGACTTAATATTTTTTCTCAATTTCTGGCAAATATATTATAATTTTAATTAAGCTTTATTGAAAATATAACCTACGAATAACAATAACAACTAATTAAGCCTCTTTGGCATGTGAAGTTTACATTACCTGAGAATCCTTCTGCGGTGGTAGTCAAAAAAGAGACCTGCTTGCACCAAATTCGATAAGAATGATTTTTTTGTCAAATTAATGATACGAATCAATTTCCACCATGAAATATTGAAAAGTATACCTTTTTATCATACTAATATTCACTTTTCTTAGGAGCGGTTATAGGAGAAGTGGTTCAGAAAATGCCCTCGCCGAACTAATTTTTTCATAACAATTTTGATCGTCGAAATACCGCTCTGTAATTTTAGATGTGCATGAGGTCCACTATGCAAAGCCGTACTTAATATTTTCTAAAGTTTCGAAATGTTTTTAATACAAAAATAGTGATAACAAGTAACTAAAGAAGTGAGAGAATTTGACTTAAGGTGGAAAGTTTTTTTCTTACATAGGTAGTTTCTTACTTTTAACTGAATTCTAAATAAAAACTCCATGCTATTCCCCAACGCGTAGTGTTGCCTTGATGAAATTCAGTGGAACAAAATTGTTGAATTTTATTCTCTTTAAGAATGTCCAGTACTTTCGATAAACTGCTTTTATGACCCAACATAGTAGTGAAGATTCTGAAAAATTAATTTGATTATTAAGACAATCTTGGTTTTTGTGTATACATATACATATATACATAAACACAAACCTAATTTCTTTGGCACACATTAAACTTTCTGTTATAATTTTTTCAACAAATTTCACTTCACCTCCTTCACAAAATAACTCCTCCGTAAAACCTGTTGGGCAATTATGTGGTGGTGGCCGTTTCTGTGGATTTCGTGTCTTATTGGCGCTCGCTAATGTGTCATAAAATGGCGGATTGCATAAACAAAAATCAAAATTCTCATAACCATTATTGTTTTCGAAGTATTCCCGAAATATTTGTCCAGTGTGTTTTTGTGCAAATAAAGTTACAAACTTTTGCAAATTATTTCTCTCAATATTTCCGTTGGCATAATCTAAATTTATCGAATTCGATTCTAAAGCCAACATAGACCATTTATTTTTTTTAGCAGCCAATAAAGAATAAATGCAAGACGAGCCGCAACCTTTAATGTATAGTTATCATAGGGATTTTTAATGATTTGGGGGATATTTTATACATATTTAGACATATTTACCTATATCTATGCCTTTTATTGTATCCTCTTTGCGTGATTCTAACAAATCTTCCAACCATAATATGTAATTTAAACGCAAAGGCAAAGTTGGCACTAAACTGCCAGGAGCAAATTCAACATCTAGTTGAAAATATTCTAGAAGCAAGGTCCGGGTGAGAGCTCGTAAAGCCATTTCATTTTTGTAATCAATGTAAACCTTTCCATTTAGTTCCTTAGATATATGGAATGTGAATATCACGGAATATCTAATAAAATCACAAAAAGCCGATACATTTTTCAAAGACTTACTAAACGACACACTTTGCGAAACTCAGGATATTTAATGGCCAAATCTGTGTAGTCCGGCGGCGTGCGAAATACATTACGCACATGCATTTGTTTTTGAAAGATCCTGCTCATATCTAAAATTTAATAAATCTAATTCAGAAAATTCATAAAAAAACCACTTCTCTGCGTTCTTTCTTAATGTAAATAATATACACCAACATCTGTTTATTGGCACAATGTAAATGACTTTCAAGAAGAAGCATCGACAAGACAAGGTGCTTTATATTAAATTAAATTTTGCAAAGAATTCAAAACTTTTGCTCAATCATAGAAATTTGTAGCGTTATATACATTACACTATCAGCTTTTATAAATGCGCAATGAATTCGTTAAGAATTTTGATATTTTATTTTTTTAACACTAACTCAATACTGCACTGTCAAACACTATCAGAAATAACTTTATATTAATTTTAGACTTTCCAACACCGTTCATAATACAAATGGTTTTATTGTGGGTTTGTAAAAAATAATGTAAAAATTTATTAAATTCGGTGGGTACGCTACAGGCTAAGGTCGAAGATTTAAGCTGGATTACAAAAAACAATGACATGATGACTGAGATGAGATTTGATGAAAGAATTGGAGACAAGAAAATTGAATTCGTCGTTTACTATTGCCAGATGGAAGTAAAAAATGAGGGTACCATGGTTGAAACTCAAATAGAGTATGAAAAGTGTTTAACCACCGAACGGAAGAAAACACAATTATGGCGGAGATGTATTATTTTCACAGCTAACTCGAGTGCTTTGTTATTTCTAACAAAGCCGCACCTATTAATTAATTATTAATGTTAGACAGAACTAATACAATAGCTGAAACTGACTGCCAAATAGAAAGTATTGGACACAGGAAATTACAGAATTGTATGTTTCTATCGCTCTATAGCTCGGAATACTTGCGACCGGACGTCGAAGTGCGAACGTTTTTTTTCGCATTTTCTATTATATTAAATAAAACAAAAAGAAAGAGACAGAAAAAAATTATCGAAATTTTTTCAGCCAATTGTAAATGTGTTCAGAAAGAAGTTTTTAAAAATATTTATGTAAAAATCATACAAAATCTATGTAAAAGCATTGCAACGTAAATGTATGTGTGTACATAACGGAGTATTTTTTTTTTTTTAAATTGAGTAACATTTCGTTATCAAGTCAACCAAAAAAAAAAAGTTTTACATAAAAGAATCAAAGAAACGTTTGTGAGTATTTTTAAAGAATTTATGGACATTTTTGTTTTTTTTTTGGAGAAAAACTCAAAATATATTTTGCAAAAAACACATTACCTTTAGTTGAATCAGAATTTTTGAATATTTAATTTGATAACTAAAAGGCTGGAAGTAAATAAACAGTACTATTTAATTATTGTCATCAATATTCGGATAGTGTATGGTTCAAGAAGATGCGCCGCCGATCCATCTATTAAGTCAAATTTTTCTAAGCGTATCATTCAATTGAAATACACAAGAGATTATCGCGGAACGTAAAATTATTATTGTGGCGTCGTTTTATCGAACTGTATAATTGTATAATCTTGACATCGATGCTACCGCCAAAGTATTTCCAATACTATTTCATTTTTAGCGTAATCATAATTCATGTAATTTTTGTTATTAGCGGTTTGTAGAGGGTATTTGGATCATAATTCATGTAAGTGCAGATATAAGAGGTTTGTAGATGGTATAGTGTGGATATAAGCGGTTTGTAGACGGTATTTGTGTGAATGTGAGCGGTTTGTAGACGGTATTTTTGCGAATATAAGAGGTTTATAGACGGTATTGGTTTGGTTATTAGCTGTTTGTGGAAACTAATGCTTTATGTGAAATTCAAAGCGAAAACAATCATTCAATCATTCTTTTATATATATTTTATTTTTATATATATTTCTTTAATATAAAATGAAAATAATTTTTCTAATCTTTTACTTGAACTTTATACTTCTTTAATTGGAGATTTTCTCAAGGTAATTGAATAATCAATGTTTTCTAAGTGCAAGTTAGATGTTAATTTAACTTCAACCTTATTTCTGTTATCTTACTGATTATCATAAGATCATCTTTCTCCCGCACCCACCGTTTAATTCAATGTGTATAAAAAGGAGAAAAAAGGATATTGTATACACCACTCATTATGTACTATAGCTTTAGAAAATGTGTCCAACCAAACAGGTATATAAAAGTATAAAATGTGCAAAACATATAAAATGTGTAAATGTATATATAGTACAACATATATAAACAATATGCATAAATTTTTGCCTAAGGAAACATATTGTGAGCACAGACCTAACGGTCCTGTTAGGTTGTAAAAGTCATAGCGAGGCTAGCATTCACATACCTAACGGTCACCAAATCATACGATTTGGTACCTGGGTTAGCAGTTTATAAAATCACGCTGAAATTAGCAATATCAATAAAGCAGACAGAAGGATAGGTATACAAACAAACATCGCGATAGGAAAATATAAGGTAGCTTATGGATATGATGCATATCACATGAAGACATGCTCAACGTTTTATAAAATCATACGATAACAATAAGACAGACATAAAAATATACATACAAGCAAAACATGGCAATAGGAACAGGAGGGCTTGTAAAATTACGCATTGTACATGTCGTAGGAAGACAGGCTTAACTGGTGACAAAACATACGATACATGTATATTAAATGTTCTTCTTTATAAATTTTAGATTTGCTAACAAAAAGGAGCACATTCAAAATAGGAATTCGAATGCTTTTCTATGGGTATTCAGTATAAATTCTTCATTTATTTAAAATGGAATATTTCAGTATAACTTTCCGATAGTTATTGAAACAAAAAATTGTATAGAATAATTCATTCAGGTAGATTCTTATCGCTAGTTTTATTTTATTTCCCCGAAGCGACCAAGTCAAGAAAAAGGATCGGAAACAATCAGGAAACCATTAAAAAGAATAACAATTTCTTTCATATTTATATAAGTTTTTATACATATTAATAAAGTATATTAAATGTATAATAAAGCCATTTAGTTCATTTATATTTAAATAAAAATTATATAAATTAATATACAACTGAAAAGAAGTTTGATTTTCTGAACAAGTTTCTGAGTTCTGTAAAGAGGACGCAGCCAGAGAAGAAGTTAACTTTTCACGATCTCATGTACCGCTAGAGGCTTTAACTGTTTGTAAAAACGGAAAACTTGAGGTGGAGTTAGAGCTGCAGAGAAAAAAGCAAGAGAACGAGAAGCTTGAGAAGAGGCTGACGGAAACAGAAGATTGTGAAAGTAAACAACAAAAAATTGTCGTTGAGAAAATGGAGTTGAATTGAGTTGCTTACTCGGCAACTCAGGTGGAATAGGTATAAAATCCATATTATATAAAATCGCTTATCTATTGTAAAATTTCTCGGAAATAAATAAATAGAAATGTAAGAACAAAACCGAAGGTCCAAGTTTTTTTTGTCCTGGATTGGCTGAGTATACCCTGTCCAAGAAGACTCCTTACAGCATATAATCGCGATCGAAATAATGAAAAACGATGTTATTCCGGTTCTTGGACAACACTACTGTCATTGATATAGGAACTCGCCAAATAACATTAAATCATTTGTTTAATTTAGAAAGCAGCATCGGGAAGCTGAACAACACTACGTTAAAAGATGCTGTGATGGAAAATTACTTACTCTCATATTCCTTGAGCTAATGTGTTATTATTGAATGATACATATACGTGAAATTAGAAGGAACATTTAGTCATCATCGACAGCGCTAATTTTATATTGCATTCTTTTCCTTCAATATTTTTGTAACATTTTTTGACAGAACATATTAGCCATCGCCTGGATATATAGACATTTTCCCAAATGTTTGTGTTTTTCTCACAAAAATTCTACTGATTTTGGTTGATATACAACTTCCTGGCAGTTTTTCATATAAAAATTCCACTGATTTTGGTTGATATTGTTTACTGTAGGTAAGCGCTCTAATCGCTCATATAAAATTGGGAAGGTTTAAGATTTTTCAATTCATTAGTGAAAAACTAGAGTTGTTTTTCCTAATTCGCGGATGGGAAACATCTACAAATTATATTATTTTCTTTGGAACGGCTTACACATTAAAAATAATAAACCATAATAATTTTCACGAGCTAATTAAAAGTATATCAATAAACAGAAACGATAAGAAAGTAAAACACTTTAACAAGAGCAAAAGAGTTAAATTAATCCAAAATTTCAACCAATCATTGTCTTTTCAACATGTTCTCGCATATGAAAAGCTATTTGACACTTTAAATTTTTAGAGTTAGAAGATGGGAAGCAGTTGATACTTTATGCAGTTCATAATTATTCGTCTACATTGAATGCATGCGCGAACTCTAAGAAGCCGACGATAAACGATGAGAAAGTCAATTGAAATTTGAAAGATCCTTGAAGGAAATTGTGGAAACCTTAAATAAGAACAAACACTACTCAATCGTATTATTATTATTATTATTATAAATTTAGCCAGAGAATCAATTCTAAGACTAAAGTCTTAAAGCACTACCATGTAAGGCTTTCGGCTTTATTAAAAACTCTACCGCACTTGAGATTTGAACCCACGACCATTGAGTTGATAGTCGAGACTCTTACCTACTCAGCCACTCAGGCGGATTAGCAACTAGGCAATCGTAATACTGAAAACGTAAGTGAAAGGCCTTCAATTCAAAAAAAAAAGAAAATGTAAAATACCAGGAACTTTTCAAAGATTTATTGGATTCCCTTTCTTCCTTTCATTTTCGCAGAATAAAAATTTTCACGGAACAATATCATGCTAGTCAGCTTGAATTGCAAGATCTTATCCACAATAATTGAAGTCTTCCCTAAGCCCAACATACCATCAAATTTAGCCGCGACGAAAGCTAAACCAGGTTCACTTAACGCTTCGGCAAAAATTTGTCCCTCTATAACTAAACCAGCAATATTTACTGAGTCAGTAGACAAATAGCCAGAAGTGGCAGCAATTTTTCAATTAGTGCGCATTTAATGCAACGCACAGTTACTGGCCCCACATCTGCGGCCTCAACATTAGTTGCATCATCACCTGTCTCCATGTCGACCGCTACAAAACAACC